TGATAAACCTCAATGTTACTTTACAGGAGATGCAGCCGCTTGAGGGACCTTTTGCTAAGCATGAAAATTAGCTGCCAAGATATTATGGAATAACCTGTCAGAATGCCCAGGATATGGTAGCAAAACATTTTAAACAGAGGACAAAATTGTCTGTCTGGTAGTTATAGCTATATACAAGTTATGTGTACTGATAGATGCAGTCTGGAAGGGGATACGGAAAAATAGAATTAAAATATCAAGGTGGGAGATTATGGGGCATTGCTTTTCTATGTAAATGCTTTTCTTGGATAATATTGTGAATATATACATATACATTAATATTGCTGTACCTGAGGAAGAGCAGGATGACAGGGAGGAAGACGAGAAGGAGGTAGAAGACTCGTCTCTCTTGGGTTGTTCATGAGAAAGGAGTCCAGCCTCCCTGTCTGACTTGTGGAAATCTGTCTCTTCATCTGGGAGGCACACACAGAAAAGTTTCTTGAGTGTTTCTTGCCCCTTCCCACCCCAGAGACCAACAAGACCTCCCCAGGCATCTACCTGGCCTTGGGGGCCAGGAATGACTGGATTCTCTGGGACACTTTCCCCAAAAAAGTAGGGCCAATGTAAGGTGCAGGAGATCCAAGCTCTCAGAGGCCCCAGGGGCTCGAGGAAGGCCCAAGGCATAAATTTCTCTGAATGTGGAAACCAGAGATGGGCTTCTAAGCCCCCCATCCTGCCCAGAGGCCACCAGACTGTGTACAATAGTGGCCAACTTAGGATCCACTCTAAATTACATGGCAGGGATGATCTGGTCAAGTGAACCTTCTCATCCCCAATTGTGGGGTAGCACAGGAACCTTCTCGCCTTCTGAGGACCCTCCCCAGCGCCAGCCCAAGCCTCCAGAGCCCCCTTGGGATTTGGGGAGCTACTGAAGGTCCCCAAAGCTAGAAAGTTCTAGGGGACAGACTGGACCAAGCGTGTGTGTGTGTCTGTGTGTGTGTGTGTGTGTGTGTGTGTAAAACATTACTTCTCTAGAGGATTCAACTGTGACTTGAGCCATTGTGCCACATGAGGGGAGCAAGGTGTTCTGTTCCACCCATTGCTGGACTCTACCTCCCATGTGGCTTTGCCCAGAGGGTGAGAGAAGGCAAACATACAGTCTAGATCTTCTGTTTCTCTATGGACTCGACTGTGATCTGGAGTCTGGGAAGAGGGTCCTGATGTCTCCATGGTTTTCCCTGGAGGAATAACAATAATAAGTAAGTAAGTAGTACCACCTTAGTTAATCCCCTTAACATATAAAGACCTTGGCAAACAAAGAAGAAAAAGACAAACACCCAATATTCAAAAGTACAAGAACACAACTTACAAAAAAAAAAAGGAATACACAGGGAAATTTGAAGAGTGGATCATCTTTTGATAATATTAATAACTTATTTTTAGTTTTTAGAGCAGTTTGAGGTTCACAGCACAATTGAGTGGAAGGTACAAAAAGAGATAACGAACATGCCTCCTGGCCCCAAACACATATGGCTTCCCCTCATTATAAACATCCTCCACCAGAGTATTTTTTTAGGTGTGATATTTATATTGAGGTTATATTGATTTGAAGTGTCCTTAAATGTAAGGATACTGAAGTTTTTATGATGAAATTAAATGATGTCTGGGACTTTCTTCAACATGATCTTGTTGAGGAGTCTCAGGGCATAGGTGTGGGTCCAAATAAACACACATGATCCTGAGTTAATAGTTATTGGAGCTATATCAAAATATAAATAGTGGTTATCTTTGGGTGGTGGTATTATGGGTATTTTTAGCTTCTGATTTTTACTTTACATTTTCTAAATTTTTAACAATATTGTTTTTGTTATAATAAAATCGCCAGTGGGGACGCCTGGGTGGCTCAGTCGGTTGAGTGTCTGGCTCTTGATTTTGGCTTGGGTTGGGGTCTCAGGGTCATGGGATTGAGCCCTGCCTTGGGTCCGAACTCAGTGTGGAGTCTGCTTGAGATTTTCTTTCCCCCTCCCTCTGCCCTTCCCCTTGAACATGCTCTCTCTCTTAATCTCTCAAATAAATAAATAAATAAATAAATAAAATCTAAAAAAATTTTTAAAAATCGCCAATAATTTTTCCGTAAGTACTTATAAATGTAATATGCCCATATCTTGTCTCAGTGTAGTCCTTCATGGTTTTACTAAGGGCTTATCTGAGCCTGCTCACAAACCAGTCAGGTAGGAATTGGGATTCATGGCTCCTCACAGTTGATGTAGTTTCTAGACAACAAAACTTCCCCAAACATTGTCTCATTTGACTCTTAAAATAACCCTGCAAGGTACATTTCATTATCCCTATTTTACGGAGACACTCCAGAACCCACATTCTGTTTAATACACCCCAAAACCCATTATCAATGTTTATAAGTCCATTACCAATAACAGGGGCACAAAATCAGACTACTATACATTTTTTATTACTACCAGATTCAGCAAAAAAGTTGCTGACATCATTGATGAACCAGAGTATTCCCAGTGTAAATGTTAGCTGCTGTTTTCTTTCACCTTAATGGATAAGACAAAAGTGAATCAACTAAGGCATTTCTTGTCATAGTTTGCCAGTGAAATGAGCAATGCTGAATCGAATCAGTTTTCAAATTCTGGAAGAGTATTTTCTCAACTTTTTCGGCTACTCACAATGTAATGGCTGCAGGTGCAATGCAATTTTTGGTTCAATCTGCATTATTAGTGTTTTCTTTTTTTTTAAAGATTTATTTATTTTGAGAGAGTGAGAATGAGAGAGAGAGAGAGAGAGTACATGAGAGGGGGGAGGGTTAGAGGGAGAAGCAGGCTCCCTACTGAGCAGGGAGCCCGATGCAGGACTCCATCCCGGGACTCCAGGATCATGACCTGAGCCGAAGGCAGTCGCTTAACCGACTGAGCCACCCAGGCGCCCTATTAGTGTTTTCTTGATCACTTTCTTTTTTTTTTTTTAAGATTTTATTTATTTATTCATGAGAAACAGAGAGAGAGAGAGAGGCAGAGGCAGAGGGAGAAGCAGGCTCCCCGCAGAGCAGGGAGTCCGATGTGGGACTCGATCCCAGGACCCCGGGATCATGACCTGAGCCGAAGGCAGACGCTTAACTGACTGAGCCACCCAGGCGTCCCTTGATCACTTTCTAAAACGCAGACAATCCACAGAACAAACCATCGAGCTCTGATTTGTAGTTTACCGATTTCTATGGTGTAAACACTCCCACTGTGGCTGATTTCCAACTACCAGCGTGAGGTCGTGGAGTGAGAAGTTGGGAAAGGCTGGGCCATAGAACACATCATGTGCTGTTTCTACCATACAGATAAACCAGGTATGAAAATCTCAAGTACCTAGGTAATAGCAGAAGGTAGCAAAATAAATCAGGAAGTGATACCTTTTGAGTACATATTAACTTTGTTTTTAATAGAATTTATTTAATTGTACATTTCTCTAATTTAATAATGGTTGGGTTTAACAATCTTTGGCTCCCAAAATTCCTAAAGCTTTAACCATCTGCTTTCACTGGCGATACAGCCTGGTGTCAGCTCTGGACATAACAACTTCTGCTTGCCTTTCCACTTCCTCTTTCCTCCTTTTGTGTTTGCTGGAGCGGCAGACTCCCAGACTCGACGGGGGTGGGGTGGGGGCGGTGAACCACCTCAATCATGCAAAACAAGCTAATACCCCAGGGAATTCCTGAGCAAGAAGTCAAAAGGAAATCTAAGTCTTGCCAGGCCTCATGCACAGAGCTGCCTAACCACCTGAATCGGCTTCTGATCAGCTACGTGCTCAGGAAATAAGTTTCTCTCTTATTTGAGCACCGTGATTTGGTCTATTTGTTACAGCAACATAACTGAGTTGCACAGTTCATTGAAAAGTCTCCCCTATTTCTTCTCTCAGCTCTGAGTCTAAGTCCTCAACTGGGAGAAGGAATAGCTTCACTACTCTGATTAGTTTAGATTAGGGTTCTCGACCACAACACTCCTGGCATTTGGGACCAATGATTCTTTTTTTTTTTTTATAAAATCTTTTATTTTTATTTTTATTTTTTTATTATTTTTTTAAAGATTTTATTTATTTTATTTGAGAGAGTGAATGAGAGAGAGAGAGCACATGAGAGGGGGGAGGGTCAGAGGGAGGAGCAGACTCCCTGCTGAGCAAGGAGCCTGATGCGGGACTCGATCCCAGAACTCCAGGATCATGACCTGAGCCGAAGGCAGTCGCCTAACAAGCTGAGCCACCCAGGCGCCCGGGACCAATGATTCTTTGCCATTGTATGCATTGTGAGATGTCAAGCCTCCCACTCGATGCCAGTGGCATCCCCCAGCCAGTTGTGACGATCAAAAATGTCTCCAGACATTACCAAAATGTCCCCTGGGGGCGAAAATCACCCCCACTTGAGAACCACTGGTCTAGAGAATCTACTCTTTTTAAAAAATTTAATTGTATTAAAAATTTTTATTGCAATATAATTGGCATATAATATTATATTTGTTTCAGGTGTGCAACATAAGGATTCAGTATTTCTCTACATTGTGAAATGATCACCACAGTGAGTCTAGTTCCCACCTGTTCCCATACATAGTTACAAATTCTTTTTCTTATCATGAGAACTTTTAAGATCTATTCTTTCAGCAACTTTTCAAATATGGAATACCCTACAGTTACTATTTTTAAAGACTTATTTATTGGGCAATGGTGGCTCAGTCAGTTAAGCGTCTGCCTTCGGCTCAGGTCATGATCCCAGGGTCCTGGGATTGAGTCCCACATCAAGCTCCCTGCTCAGCGGGTAGCCTGCTTCTCTCTCTGCCCCTTCCCCCCACTCATGCTCTCTCTCTCTCTCTAAAATAAATAAGTAAAAATACTTATTCATTTATTTTAGAGAGAGTGCGTGCATGTGCACATGCGTGAGCAGGGGGAGGGGCAGAGGCAAAGGGAGAGAGAGAGAATCTCCAGCAGACTCCACGCTGAGCCCGGAGCCCTGCACAGGGCTCAATCCCACGACCCTGAGATCATGACCCCAGCCAAAACCAAGAGTTGGACATTTAACTGACTGAGCCACCCAGGCACCCCCTGCAATACCATATTAGTAACTATAGTCACCATGTTGTACATTACATCCTCATGACTTATTTCTTTTATTACTGGAAGTTTGTACCTTTTGACGGCCCATTTTGGCCATCCCCCACCCCCACCTCTGGCAACTGCCAATCCATTCTCTGCATCTATGAGTTTGGGTTTTTTGTATGTTTGTTTGTTTGCTTTTGGTACAGAATCTACTCTTAATCTACCAAGACCTTGGCAAGGTAATAGCCTTCCTTGTGCCTCAGAGGTGGACCATCTGGGCTTGGATCCTATCTAACACTCCTGGTTGTGGGATCTTGAGCAAATTACTTAACCTCTTGCTGTCTCAGTTTCCTCATCTGTAATATGGGGACAGTAAGAGTGCTTATCTCATAGTGTTGTTAAAATGGCATGTATTAAAACATGTAAAGCACTTAGAACAATGCTTGGTATAGAGCAGGTGTGGAATAAATGCCAGAGGAGATGATTTCAGGCCTCCAGACCTAGGCCATTCTTTCTTTTTTTTTTAAAGATTTTATTTATTTATTTGATAGAGAGAGACACAGCGAGAGAGGGAACACAAGCAGGGGGAGTGGGAGAGGGAGAAGCAAGCTTTCCGCTGAGCAGGGAGCCTGATGCAGGGCTCAATCCCAGGACCCTGGGATCAGGACCCGAGCCGAAGGCAGACGCTTAACAACTGAGCCACCCAGGTACCCCTAGGCCATTCTTTCTTATCGTCAAAATTGTATCTGACCTTGAAGGCACAGCTCAAATGCCACCTCCTTCATGAAGCCCTGCGCTAGTTGCCTAGCCAATACCCACCCTCCTTACCCTACTCCCTTAATCCTCCTTCCCCCAGCACCCCTGCCTTTCTTTCTTGTTAATGAAACTGCAATTTTGTTCTTCTAGCTCCAGTTAGATACTTGTTTTGTCAGCCTCCCTTGTAGCTGAAGTTGGCTGGGGTTCTGGGAAGGGTTTTTCTTCTCCTGACAAAAGAAGCCAACAGTGCTGGTGCTGTGTCTTGCCTCTCCTTCCTTCCTTGAACATGAATGTGATGGCAGGAGCAACAGTGGCCACCTTGTGACCATGAGGAAAAGCCAAAGCAAATGCAGGGACATTGTTGAGCTGCCAGGCCCTTG